AGGGAGCTTGGCCTTGGCCTGACAGTACAGAAGTCAGGGAGGCTTCCTTACTGTCTCACAGAATTGCCTAGAAGCCTGCGTCCCACCAAGCCCTGAGGCCTGCTTCACCCTCCTCTGGCTCTTGGGGATCTGTCTCCAGCTCTGCTCCATTCCCTGCCCTCTTCTCCCTGTCCTCATGCATTCCCTGCCAGATCTGCCTCTTATGTCCTAGCTGGGACCCTGCACCTTGCATATTTCTACAGTTCACTCCTTCCCCTTGGGACTGACCCCTCCCAGCCCCAGCCAGTGCTTGGTCTCAGCCTGGTCTCCCCTTTCCAGCATTCGCCAGTACGAGCTTGTGGTGCACACAGACATAGACCCAGCCAAGGTGTACAAGGGCGAGATGGGCCGTCTGAAGAGCTATGAGAACCAGAAACCGTGAGTACAGGGAGTATAACAGGGCCAGCGCCTGTGGGCCTCGGTGTGGCCATACCTCGGGCAGCTCTGTGCCTTCTGCATCCCACAGGGTCTTTTCCCCCAAACCCATGAGTAGGTGTACTTGGGGACACCTGCATTTTCACATCTGCACAGCAGGGCATGGGACTCAGAGCAGAGAGAGGAACTGCCCAAGAGACAGGCGGCTGCTCCTGGGACACGGGACCCAGCCTGTTTCCCTATCTGTAAATGGGCAGACCTAGTGCTGCCCACTCTTGGGAGATTGTTGAGTGTACCACACTCGGTTGGGCTGGGGGGGCCCTGGACACAACTGGTGACATTGCCTTTGTGGCCCTTGGAGCCCAGGGACCCCCCCGGCCAACTCTGAGCTCCCCGTGCACAACCAGGTGGGTCCATGGGGAACAGGGAGATGCAGACAACAACACGGGCACTCACTGCCCTTTTCTTCTCACCACCCAGCCCCTTCGATGCCAAGAATCCATTCCTGGCCGCAGTCACTACCAACCGGAAGCTGAACCAGGGAACCGAGCGACACCTCATGCACCTGGAACTAGACATCTCAGATTCCAAAATCAGGTGCCAGCCGACCTCCCCTGAACCTTCACCCCAGCCCCCTGATGTGGGTGTAGAGCCAGCCATCCACCTGTATCCTGAGCCTGGTGTGTCTCTCTAGGTATGAATCTGGGGATCATGTGGCCGTTTACCCAGCCAATGACTCTGCCCTCGTCACCCAGCTTGGTGAGATCCTGGGTGCCGATCTGGACGTCGTCATGTCCCTGAACAATCTTGACGGTGAGTCTTGACATCAGGCCACCACCCTCTCCCCTGCCTGGGCCTGAGAGGTCTGGTGGGAGTGGGCCTTGGCAAGGCCAGTGGCCTGAAGCAGTACCCTGAGTGGTCCTTACATCCCGGACCCCAGACTCCGGGGGAGCGTCGTCGTTGCAGGATCTGTCCCTTTCTCTTAGTGTCCTTCCCCTGGCCCCAGTCACTGTCATGATGCCTTAAGGGAAGGAGGAGTACCTGAGTCTGGAAGGGGAGCCAGGCCCAGCTGCCTCCAACCCACAGGGTCCTACTGGGGAAGAGGGATGAAGAGGCCAGAGCCCTGGTCCTGGGGCCTAGCTCCACAACTGACCATGGTGCCCTGGAGCTACGCTGTGCTGCTTCCTCATTGGTGAATGCAGGGGTTGGGCCTATCTAAGGGAGCTTACAGTGCTGAGAACTGCTTAGTAAGGCACAGGCCTTGTGGGCCCACAGCTGGGCCTCAATGTGAAATCCCCAGACCCCCCCACTGACCACCACCCTAGGGCCAGCCGCACTTCACCTGCACCTGCCTGTTTGTGTCCTCAGTGGCCTGTGCCAGGCCATCCCTTCTCACCAGTTCCAGAGCCAGCCGTAGGGCAGAGCAGTGTGAAAGGGGGTGGTCTCTGTCACACTGCTGTGCCAGCCAAGCAGCACACACATGCGCAGGCACACTCACTGCCTCCCTAGCAAGGTCCGGCCTCTGAGGAGGGCTTCTTACCCAGCCTGAAGCACGAGGCCTGCCCAGATCTCAGTTCTGCTCCAGGGCCAAGGAAGCCCCAGGAGAGCTGGCCTTGCTCCCAGTGCTAGCTGGGCTCCTGCTTCCTGCAGAGCAGGTCCAAGGCTCCACTCCACACCAAGGCATCCCACCTCCCCCCACCCACACCCCCCCAATGGCAGCTGCTCACTCTAAGTGTTACCCTCCCCCTCCCTGCAGAGGAGTCCAACAAGAAGCACCCGTTCCCCTGCCCCACCTCCTACCGCACGGCCCTCACCTACTACCTGGATATCACCAACCCGCCGCGCACCAACGTGCTCTACGAGCTGGCCCAGTATGCCTCAGAGCCCTCCGAGCAGGAGCACCTGCGCAAGATGGCCTCCTCCTCGGGAGAGGGCAAGGTACCCTGGGCCACCCTACCCTGCCATTCCCTGGGCTTCCCTGCCCCCTCTCCCACGTCTCACCCCCAGGTTCTGCCTTCTTCCAGGAGCTGTACCTGAGCTGGGTGGTGGAGGCTCGGAGGCACATCCTGGCCATCCTGCAGGACTACCCGTCCCTGCGGCCCCCCATCGACCACCTGTGTGAGCTACTGCCGCGTCTACAGGCCCGCTACTACTCCATTGCCTCGTCCTCCAAGGTCAGGGGTGGTGCTGGCTGCTCGGGGCAGTGTGGACGGTGGTCAGACAGAGCACAGGAGCCCGGCCCAGCCCTGCCTCGGCCCCAGTGTCTGGAGCAGGGCTCTTAAAAGAGTCCCTGGGCTGTGGATTCCGGAGGGCTACCTCTTCAGCCCTGGTGGGGAGTGTCTGGGAGGGGGCCTTTGAGCTTTGGGTGCGAGGAAGGGTGTGAAGAGGCCTGAGTAGGGACCACCTGTGGGGCAAGGCTCAGGCAGGGCTGGAATGCCACGCTCACTCGGGCCCTCCCTCCAGGTCCACCCCAACTCTGTGCACATCTGTGCGGTGGCCGTGGAGTATGAGACCAAGTCAGGCCGCATCAACAAGGGCGTGGCCACCAGCTGGCTGCGCGCCAAGGAGCCTGCTGGAGAGAATGGTCGCCGGGCCCTGGTGCCCATGTTTGTGCGCAAGTCCCAGTTCCGCCTGCCTTTCAAGGCCACCACACCTGTCATCATGGTGGGCCCTGGCACTGGGGTTGCCCCCTTCATAGGCTTCATCCAAGAGCGGGCCTGGCTGCAACAGCAGGGTGAGTGTGGGGCCCAGGTGGCAGGGTGGTGACAGGCCAGGGACCCACACTCACCTTGGCCTGCTGCTGCCAGGCAAGGAGGTCGGGGAGACGCTGCTCTACTACCGCTGGCCGCCCCCCAGCGTGGG